AAAGAAAGAATAAGCCTGCCAGCCCTTGGTGTGTGTGTGTATCTTCCCTCCTTGTGCCGTTGTCTGACCAGTTTATGAGGACTGACAGCACTGACGCCTCCCAGTACCCATCTCCAACCATTCTTCTTAGTTTCTTACGTATTGTTCCAACATTTTCTTATGCTTCTATAAATGAATGAGGATACAGATATATTTGCCTACATTAGGGCTTTCCCCATGTTTGTAAGATTCTCAGGAACAAATGAGACACCTCTTTATATTGACCTGTTTACCATTTATTGGGTTCGATATTCTTAACAATAACGTTTTCTACTGAAATAGCAGGTTGTGGTTACCGGTAGAACCCCAGTATGAGAAATGTGTACAGAAGCAAAAGACTGTAACATAAAAAGGTATGTGAAAAATTAGCAAACCAAAGCATTATAAATGGATGAAGCACTATAAAATGACTGTGCTGGTTTATGTAGCTGTAACTTTAATCTGTACTGTGCTAAATAGCCTGTAGCCGAGTTTGAAGAGTTAGATGAACAGGTGCCACCCAGTCAAGCCGTGGGTCTTCCCTACAACCTCCCAATTGGATCTGATAGAAGGAACAGGCGAACCGTCTGCTCTGCCACCACTTGTTCTACCTTGGTCTCGTGAAGGATTCTTGTTGAATTTGTTTTTTCCTACCACTACCCTCCTAAGGCACCCGCTAATAGGCCATGAACATGAAACGTCATTCAACCATTTTTGTAAAAGTGAAATCATAGCATCATATTTATTCTTTTGTCTGGATTTAAAATGTGCTAAGTTGAGGACAAAAGACTTTCTTTATAGGAGAATCACAGGGGAACACAGAATATGCTTTTGCGGAAAACCATGGGCGGGTTACAGAGCATTCAACCTCCTGGAAGAGCCATATCACTTTGTGTGTTAAAGCTTCTGGCTATCACTGTCCATTAGTGAACATTTGAACAATTTTATACAGTTATTATTTTCCTGGGTTTTCTAATATGAAACTGTAATGGCTAGGCTGGAAGCTGCCTTTACTGTTCCAAAAAGTCAAGGGGGATTTTTCTCTACAAAAGACATATTTACGTGTAGATAAGTGGCTTCTGGGAACATCCTCACTGCACAGAAACTGTTCTCAGCATTTCTCAGACTTTTCTTAGAGTGTTATGTTTCACTATCAGAGTTTCCAAACAGTAGATGTTTAAAACAGTAGATGTCAACAGGTACTTTACATTGAGTGGAGAATTTTATAATAGGTAAGTTGATCTTCCTATCGCTAATTCCCCCTTCTAATAGGAGGTCACTGTAGGTTGATATGCCTGTGAGAGGTACTCTTCTGGACTCAAGGCTGGCAGGGTTGCTCTGGGCTGCAATCCTGAAGATAGCTGGGCTTTGGAAGTAGACGTTTGACTATTGGAGATTGGAGAAATATCAGCGCTGGGTTTGCCTGGAAAAGGGATCTGTGTCTGGGTGTTAGGGAAAGGTCAACAGAGGTACTAGCCTTTGGCTTCCTGTGTCCAGATGTGTTGATGAACCTGCTGATGACTCAGGAGAACTAACTGTGGCAGCCTGGGGCTGGCTTCTAGTGTGGTGGGGAGAAAAGGTGGTGTCTGCCATGTCTCCCCTGCCAGCCAGTCATACTGTGTGAATCTCCCAGCCTGAGACTCCCACCTCTGGATCAGCATTGATGTTGGGAGACTTCTCGGGGGGCTGGTGTAATCTGGGCCACTTGTAACTGGCTGGGGTCATTTTGAGAGCAGTGAGGAAGCCTCTCCAGACCAAATCTGCCCTGCGCTCTCTGCTCCCAGAATGCCTAGGGGAACCCCACGTAACAAAGTTTCAAAAGGAGATAACCTGCATTTGAAAGATCCGGCCGAGCTGCCCAGGCATCCTATCGTGCCCTTTCAGTTGTTGGGGTCTCATGGCTCAGAGCGCTTGGTAAACATCGTGGGGAGGTGGCAGGAGGGGTGCACAGGCATTCTAGTCAGCCCAGCACTGGGCTCTTATTAGCACCACGGGAAATCACGGGCTCCTAGGAATATTCCGACACAGCTCAGAGTGTTAGCAGGTTTTCATTTTTTAAGGGGATGCATGGATATGTTGTATTGATTTGCCAAGGAACAATGGCCTATAGTTTCAGCCTGAGAATTCCTCATAAAGTTAAGGCATAAAAATGTCCCCTCTGAGACTAGTCAGGAGCATTTAATCTCATACAGCTTAATTTGTTGCTTTTGTGGTTTCTGTGATGTCATCCCCCATATGTAAGCTGGCAAAATTCACACTGGGGAGTGTAACCCCTGTATGCACAGATCGACAATGGAAAATGTTATGCATTGTTTGTCTTGGTTGCTACACATCTGATTACACTCGTCATGAAAACAAACTGTTAAAAAATTTCAGGAGATAGACTTCTAAATGGAATTGCCTGGAACCCATAAAGTGGGGTCACATAGCCTACAACTATTAAAAGACGTAGGAAGAAAAGTAGCCTTCAGGCTTACTTTGTGTCTACTCACATCGACTTTCCCAGGGATGGCCTTATAAAACGCAAACCAACTCGCTTCATGCCTATAAAGTTTTTAAAAAACATTAAAGAGTAGTCGGATTGCCACTGAAATATAAGAATTGATTTTTGTTTTCATCGTTTGTAAGAATATCAAAAGGGAGAGGCGTACCCTCTATCCCACCTCCCCCCGATAAAAAACCACCCTGACTTTTGGTTCCTTTGCTAAGTTATATTAAAATGGAAGTTATTGCTAAATATGCTTCATTTGATAAACACTGCATCTTGGAAGTGTTATTTATTCCTTTAATATTATCTGTGTATTGGAAGGAAATATCAGTATTAAATGTGCTCGTATTCAGAAACAAATTGCATGGCTCCAACAAAGCAAATTAGTTCTGTAGAGATAGGCATGTGTCATCAGCCACAGCCCCTAAGTGGCCAGTGATGACATGGTGTAAGATCACAGTTTTAACCTTTAATGTCAGACTCTTCCTGATGCTCTGAAATAAAGCACAGGGATTATAGCTAAGAACAACCACAGAAAGTCAGTACATATCCTCTTACAGTAGGAGGAGGGGCTAAAATGCCAGATCTAGGGATTTGGGCATCTATAAAGACAATGCCCACATAATGCACCATAAAATTCTGTAAACCTTTTCAAGAGTATGTGTTTTGGCATTAATGTGATAACCGAATATAACCTCAGTTACAGTAATTCTGTGTGTTTCACATCAGCAGTAATATTTTCTAGCATGGTTTTACATTTTTAAGAAACTAATAATTGTATAATAAACAGATGCATGATATAAGAGTTGGAATGTATTAGAGTTGGGTTCCCTTTTGTGTGTGTTTGTGACACGTATTTATTTAGTTTATCCATGGTCATGAACACTATGTTGCCTAGATACAGTGGGGAACATGGGAACAGTTAAATGCAGTTTTGTTTTCTGGAAAGCAAACCAAGATTCTTGGTACATATTTTTCTTTCTGCTTCAAGGCACAGGAAAACCATTAAAACGACCCCGAAAGAAGCCTTTATCATAAAACATTCAGAGTGAATTATGGAAGTATCGTCAGCTGTCATCTAGTCCGAAAACTATGGGGTCGTATGTGACCCCACCAGAAGCCAGTGAGAGGAGGCATGATGAACTTTTACCTTATCTGAGTATTATTGTACTTTTCATACCATTAGCCATAGGTCTCTTAAAGACTTTCCTACGAAAATGGTTCCCCAGTCAGAAGTTTGAAGAGTAGAGAGGTGAAGCCAGCATTTCATAAATACTTAGGATAGGAAATTGATTCTGTGCTGCTCCACAGGTAGGCTGCAAGTGTTTAAAAAATAGATTCAGACTGTATGCTAAAAACATCTTTTAAAGGCTCCCGCGGCCGAGCTGGGAAAATAGGATGCCCCCAAAAGAACTTAGCTGTAACTTCTGGTTCTTTGTCCAATTATACTAACAAGGATAGCAGACATAGGCTATCCCAATGAACGTCACATTCCATTTGGTTGTAGTTTATGCAAGCATAAGGAGTCTACCTAATTTTCAATAAGTCGAACCTAGCAGTGAAAGGAGATTTTTATCTACAGAGACTGACTAGATCTGGGCACTGGTTCACATCTGAAAATAGTTATGGTCCCATGGAAAGCCTCGTCTATCTGTCTAAATACAGGATCATTGCATTACAGTTGAGAGGACAATGTGGTAATTTGCTTAGCTCCAAGCAGTTCAGGGAGGTGGAGGTTTTTAGTGCCTGGGCAGATTTCTTGTAGAAACACCACCTTTCCCAATCTAAATAATGTGCAGATGCCAGCACTCAGGAAAGGGCAGCCAGAAAAAGTGCTTGGTGTTTCTGTAAAGCAAAACCTTGAGCAACACTACAGATTTGTTCTTTGCCTGCTCTCCAAATGTGCTCACGGCTGGTCAGCTCAAGGTCAAGTTTCTGCTTGCCCAGTGTTCCAGACCCTATCCTGTTGTGGTCACACCTTACAATTCCTGTCTGCAACCCAGATTCTCTCCAAGGCTTCCTGGCCAGAAACCATATTTTCCCCTGCCTGCCAGAGCTTCAAGGTGCAGCCCCCAGGGGCTTGCCTGTCAGCTATGAAGGGGCCCAGGGCTTCCCTGAAAGCTGAGCATTGACTGGACCTGAAGTCCCTCAGCTTTGACCCGAGATCGGGATTTCCGAAAATCACTTGAGGTTCTACCTGTGGTCTCTTGAGCTGTGTCTGGTACCAAAGCCATAGCCACGGGCAGTCGGGGAACTGCTTTCCAAAAAAAGCCTTGATCAGAAAGTAAACATCCTGTCTAGATTCCCACCAAGTAGGATATTTCAAGTTCGCAAAAATATTAAGAGCACAACAAGCCTTCCTGCCATGGAAAACTCAGTGATGGTAAAATGTCTACCACAGTGCACTGCACTATAGTAAGCATTCCACATAAATTAATAATTTACAAGTACCTGAGCAAGTATACAGAGCACCATAGCACAGCACAGCACCGACGGCAGTAGCTCAAAGTTCTTAAAATAATGGTGTTTTAAAAAAGTTCTAAAAGTTGGTACAAAAAACAACTCCAACTGGAGTTGAAAGATAGTGCAAACTTCTGTCTTCACTGGTGAAAAAAGGTGTCGGCTTCTCACTTGATATAGGCAGTGTGGGCGGATCTGGGCACTTGGTGTGGATACTTAGGAGCAGATCTGAACGGATTGGTTGAGAGAAGAGAAAACAAAAACGGCAGTTAGAGGCCTTGGAGCGATTCCTGGAGCTACAGAAGTCTGGGGTTGGACATGCCTTCCTACACTCCGAGGGGTTTTCTGGGTCAGATCCCACTGCCCCTCATGTTGGGGGCTGGAGACCACTCTTTTGGCAGGGGTTGCAGGTCACACAAGAAACCTAGCTCAGGGCTGCAGGATTTCCAGGGACATTTGACAGCCTGCCATCAGAGGTGCCCTCTCTTCCCATCACCTGGGACTCTGGAAACAGCTCTGTCCCCCAGAAAGATGTGAGCCATATTGAAAATTTTCAACTTTCTAGTAGCCACGGGGAAAAACGAAAAAGAAATGGGGGAAGTTAATTTTAGGATACGTTTCATTTAGCCCAATATATTCATATCTAGAGCATTGTGATTTTAACATATCATCAGCAGAAATGATTACTGTTACTAAGTCTTCAAAATCCAGTGTGATTTCTATGACATGTCCAGTGGCCACTATGTCACAGCAGAACTCTACTAGAGAACAGGGAGCCAAGGTGAGCACATGGGACCCTCAAAAATGAAATGTACAGGATAAGACCAAAATCAGCTTGCCCTGACGGCAGCAACGGGCAGAGGTCAGGCAGGCCATTGCTTGAGGTAATTAAAAAGAGGGCTTTCCCCTCATTGTGTCCATGATGTGTTTCTTCTTCAGATAGAACAAGAAAAGTAATCTTCAGATCAACATGTAAACCACAGTGAAATAATTAGGATGCTATGCGATTTTTCTGTATTTATGCAGTTGGGAATCAGACCATTGTCCTGACCCTTTGACCGGCTTTATCTCTGAGATTTGTTAGGCAGCTATTTCTTTCACAGGCCAAACATTCTTCCCAAGAGCTGTAATGAAATCCTACATTGTATCTTCCTCTTCAGAGATACTGAATTATTGAACCCCGGGACCTGATCAGCATAGTACCTTTGGTTCCTTTGAGCTCATAAAGCAAGCTTCCCGCCTAGTGGGTGTGTGAGTCAGAAGAATGCTTTGGCAGTGGATTTAACTCATCTGTGTGCAACCCACAGTGGGAAAGACAGCCCGATTTGTAGTGTTTGCCAGTTTCCATTGTGTAAATACTCCCATCGTGGCTGATTTCAAGCTACCGCCATGACATCACTTGACATGGAAGAGATATGCCGGGCAGCCACTGTGATGGAGGATTTCCACCATTCAGAAATAATAGATGTGTGTAGTCTCAAAAGCACAGATAATTACAGCAAGAGTTATAAAAAAGGGTGAGTTTTGAGTGTTTATTTCCTTTGTTTTCAATATAATTTATATCATTGTAAGACTATATAGTTCCTAATATTGGCTAAGTTTAACACCTAGGTTGCAAAATTTCTGGAGATCTGCTAGCTCTCAATAATCTGGGTGAGCTGGATCCAGCATGCCACTGGGTTTGCTTCCCTAATAAGTTAGGATTCAGGTCTCTGCCTTCCAGTGGACTACAGCAGCAGAAATCTTGAAAGGCCATCCTTTTTGTCAGTTGTGTAGACAAGCCCCCAGTGACACCAAGGTCCTGCTATCTAATGGTTTCTCTTACTGTCTCTGTTCCCCTTTGTGTCATCGTCTGTGGCCCTCCGACTCACCCTGATGTCTCAGGGTCCAAGGGCCTGGGCAGAAGCTGTCAAGGTCTAGTGAGAGTTTTGGAGGTGGGTGTCCAGACTTCACACCATCACCCCACTCAGGAGCGCTTCTGCTGCTCGGTGTCTTTTGCAGACAGGGTCAGGCCCCTTTCGACAGTTGCAGCTTTCCAAAGTACACTGTCCAGTTCTACCTTATCGTGACTTGACCTCTTAGGTGGACAGAGGCCATTGATAAGAGCTACGTGGTGATTGCTTATAAGCTCATGTGAACTGGTTATTTTTATATCCGTTATATATTATCTCCAGTTGTGGGGTGCGCAGGAAGCACGGTCCAGACCACCATGCCCAGGTCCCAGCTGGGGTTGGCTAAGTGGCACCACAGCAGTATGAGAGAGACAGAGCACGGGACAGCCTTGTCACCAACCTGAGGGGTACCAGGTGGAGCCCGGGCTCCCACTGTCCTGGGGTCCTGGCTGTGGCATGGAGTGGCCGTGTGGTCCTGCTCAGAGGATCGGCGGGCAGAGGCTTCTGAGGAGGGTTTGGCTTACGGGTTCCCTGCAGGAAACATGAGATCACACATGGTCACTCACCTCTGTGACCAGCCATAGACCTCAGGAGCCAGCAGAGTCCCCTGGAAGGTGGGATGCTGCTGGGCCCAGGTTCCATCTCCCAAATGTGATCCTCTCACCACCTAAGGTTTGTGGGTGGGTGAGGGGGCGTAGTCCACCTCTGTCAACCTTCTTGCCAAAATCTTCTCTCACATTTTCTGTTAACCTTCTTCTCTCTCATTTAAAGAACTTATCTCATATGTAGGTGCTAAATAGCCACAGAGATGGAAATAATAGACACTGGGGAAACCAACAAGGGGGGAGACAGGGAAGGCGGATAGGGTTCAGAAATTACCTATAGGGTACAATGTTTACTACCGGGGGAGAGGCCACCTGAGACCCAATCCTGACTGCTGCACAGTCTATCCATGTAACAAACGTGCACACGCACCCCCTGAATCTAAAATAAAAATGGAAAAAACCTAAAAGTTGTCCATAGAATCATATAGGTACAAACACTCGAAAGTGGGGTTTTGGATCTCATGCCTTCCACAAGCCTTAGGGGTGCTGTTGGGGTTTCCCTGCCAATACTACGCACTTTCCTGTTTCTTTAGGCTTCTTTCCACTTTATAGAGGCCTAAAATGAGAAGTAGGTAAAGATCTTTGCAAGTAACACAGTTCTTCCGTTTGGGCAGAGTTGTGTGACAGGACTCGTTCCCCTGTGGGCGAATTAGGTCATGAGAATGGTCACCTTTTATTCATCCACGGGCAGTCTCTATACCAAAGTTGCTCCAGATTGCTCAGTGCAATGCACCGATGTTCTTCCACTCGAATACCTTTGACTAATTAGCTCAGAATTAACACAGCGGTTTGAGGGACAAATAAAACTCTACAGAGAGGCTAAGGGGCGGGGCTGCACTGACCACACACCAGGGAGGGTGTTGGCCAGAAAAGGCGGACAAGGCATGAACTTGGGCGTAATTCCACTTTGGGTTTTATCAAAAGACCAAACTCCGAGACTTGTGAAAGTCTTGATTTCTCTGACCCTCAATTTCTTCCTCTGGAAAAATGGGGGGAGATGAGACCTGTCTCCTAGCATGCTATGAGGATTAAAGAAAATAATGCACAGAAAGTTCCTGACACACCGATAATATCAAAATTCCCTCATGCCACAAATTTTAAAATACTTAATGGAAATACGAGAAAAACAACACAAATAGTACCACAGTAAAACCGCAAACCACTTGTTTTCATAGGGCTCCTTCCACGGCTACTCATGAGAAAGGGATTAATTGGAGCCGGGTCAGGAAGTCAGAAGGGTAGGACACAGTTCTCCTCTTGGGCCCAGGTGAGTATGGACGCCAAGACAGCTTCGGCTCTGGTGTTTGGAGCCTGGAAGCACTTGTGAACCATAGAAGGTCTGCAGGAAATGGTGCTAGAGCCTCAAAGGAAACAACATCCTAATAATCACATGACCTAATTCATTGTCATAGAACTCAGTATTTTGTGAGGGGGGACCCCAAAAAGCAGAATTTATTTATAAAAAGTTGTGTATTTATTCTGACATGATTAATCTTCAGACGCCTTCAAAGAGCTCTCGGTTTGATGCAACACACCTAGGGAGATGCTTTTCCCACGGCTCAAAACGGTTTTTGAACTCGTCAATTTTGATGCCTTTGAGGGCTTCTGCCATTTTTGTGTGTGTTTGTTTGCTTGTTTCACCTTTTCCACATCAGCAATGTTTCCCTTTGAGGACTTTTTTTCATCCAGGGAAAATAAAGCTTGCGTGGGGTGAGTTTGGGTAAATAGGGAGGGTGGGGCATGGGAGTCATGGTGGTTTTGGACAAAAAACTGCTGAACTTTCAGTGCAGTGTGGGTATTGTCACGGGAGAAGAACTGGCCACATGTTTGCCAGAACTCAGGATGTTTCTTCGGCAACGCAGCCTCTTCCAACCGTGCTAGCAAGTACACTGATGCTGATGGGTTCCTAGAATACTTCCCTGGTGGGAGAAGCCTATACCACAAAGCGCCCACCCTCCAAAAGATAATTCTTTTTTTTGGGGGGGGGGATCTCCCCTCATATACATTCAACACTCAGCAATGATTTTAAAACATTTGGCTTGGATTTCTCACAGTACTTATCACACTAAAATCACATTTACTCAGCCTTCCAAGCTCAGTTGAAAGCACGCAAAAGTATAACCACCATTTAAGACATCTTTGTAAAGCTAAAGAAGGAACCACAGAAGTTTGTAGGCCACAGCTGTGTGGACAATAAGTCAAGTTGGAACAACAGACAGAACTGGATAGAAAAGAGCCACTGAAAAGGGGACAGACTTAAAAGTGACATTTCTACATGAGTTTTCATTGAAGAAAACATTATAGTTTGAGGTTTTATGTTTAAGTCTTTGATCCATTTAGAGTTGATTTTTGTGTATGGTGATATGTCGTGGTCTTGTTTGAATCTTCTGCATGTGTTTAGTCAGTTTTGCCAGCACCGCTTACTGAATAGGTTCTCCTCTCCCCAGTGGTTGTTAGTGGAGGCTTTGTCGAAGATGAGTTGGTTGAGAAAATGAGGTTTTGCTTCTGGAATCTCTATCCTGTTCCATTGGTCCTATATGCCTGTTGTTGTACCAATACCAGGCTGTTTTGAGTATTGTAGCTTTACAAGGAAGTTTAAAGTCTGGAAGTGTGATACCTCCTGCTTTGTTTTTTTTTTGTTGATTGTTTTGGTAATTCGTGGTTGTTTATGTTTCCATATGAATTTCTGTATTGTTGTTTCCAGGTCTGAGAAGAATGATGCTGGTAATTTAATGGGTATTGCATTAGATCTGTAGATTACCTTGGTCAGAATAGACATCTTAACAATGTTGATTCTTCTAATTCATGAGCATGGAAGATTTTTCCATTTGTTTGTGTCACCTTTGATTTCTTTAAGCAGTATTTTGTGGTTTTTGTTGTAAAGGTCCTTCACTGCTCTGGTTAGGAAGATGTCGAGGTGTTTCATATTTTTTATTGCTATTATGAATTATGAATGGGATTGTGCTTTTTATTTGGTTCTCTGCCTGTTTGTTGTTGATTTTGTGCCCTGAGCTTTTGCCACAGTTCTTTACCAGTGCAAGAAGATTCAGATTCTCTTGGATTTTCGAACTTAGCGTCTATAATACTCACTTATCTATTACAGAAACAAAGAAATGAGTACCACATGTTCTCACTCATAAGCGGACCCTGAACATTTATCAGAATACTATAAGAAAGGGATTGGCAGTAGTGGAAAACTGCCAGGAGAACAGGGGAGGCATCCTTTATCAATAAGGCTACCTGGTCTCAAACCAGGTGAAGTGGGGACCAAAGTGAGGTTCCAACTTTACCTGTACAATGACCATTTGAATACCTAATCCTGAATTGTACCCCACATCTTTAAAATAAAAATTAAAAAAAAAAACCCACAACATTAACAGGCTATAGAATGTAAATAGAACAAGTTCCCTAGCTAGGAATGAAAATGATATAATATGCCTGACAGTACAGGCTATTTGTATATTCAACCAGCTCTGTACTTACTAGCTTCGTACATTCTCACAGTTCTCTCACCGGCAGAGGGGGATTAAAATGAGACATTAAAGCTCTTAGCACAGGGTCTGGCATGCTGTAACCCATGAGTAAGTGTTAACTACTGCTGCTATACCACACCTATTATTGATAGAGTGAATTTACTACCTAAAAGCACCATAACCCTACTGAAAAAATCTTGGGTGATAAACTAAGCAACAAATCAAGCTCCATTTCCTATAAGGTAGCAGAAAACTATGAGCACGATATTAGTGTGTAACATAAAAATGAATGCGTGTGCTCATAAAACCGAAAGACTTTGGGGATTAAATAATTAATTACTAAGTGATACTAGTTTTTCTGCTAAGTATGACTAAGTGGCCTTGGCCATAAAGATAATGTCAGGTTTTTATAGCAATGCTGGAGAAAAAGTGAGGTGTATGTTACAATCTATCACAATATATTTGGATTTATCATGGAAACGTAGGCGATAATTAGGCTGGCCATTCATTCTAGTTTGCCTGGGACATTCCCAATTTATGCTTATGGTCGTGTTTAATTATTAATCACAGTCCCAGACGTGACTCCTGCTTTAGAGTGAATTTATATGATCACCATAGTAATAAAAGCCCAAACAGCTGAGATGCTGATGGAAAGTTCTGACTTCAAACTCATGGACTGACAGCAGTACCATCTGCTTCCTCTGGCTGTGCCTAGGACATGGTTTGGATGGAAACATGAAACAGGTCACATATAGAGATGTTGCCTTCTGTGGAATGGTGGGGTAGATCCAAGAAGATGTTCCTTCACTTCTCAGCAGGCACGGTAGTAGAAAATGCATGAAATGTTGGCCAGAACTACCAGCTGTCTGTGCTTTGTCCTTGGAGGAAGTGGTAGAATTTCCAAACTCTTAGGTGGCGCTTTTCACGCTGACCTTGCAAAACCTGAATGTGACCCTTTCCCGGCACCAAGAACCACCTGAAGGGAGCTGAGAATTGACTCCAGGCCAGGTCGCTCACAACTGATAAATATTCCTTTAGATCTGTTTTCATTCTAAACAAGGAAACGAAGAATTCAAACCCCATTCCTCACCCCCCTCACCTTCTTCCAGACGCTGCTGAAGAATCCAAGTACACTGTTAAATAGGGCTGTCCCATTCTTCCATTTTTTTTTTTTTTACTCCCGTTCCAGCAATGGCCACATATTTCAAATTTTAGAGGTTTGAAAATAAAGTTGTAAATCCAGATATAACCACTTGGTCTTGAGCAGCATCATAAAGAATTCTTAACTGTTATCAACTTCCACGTGATAAACAAGAGTAAACACATCCTGCTTATTCAGGAAGACTTGAGATCATCACAGGAAGATGCCAGAGATGCCACAGAGATCCCTGACAAGCTCACCCAGGGCCGGGGTGGCACACACATATTCACTATACCAACTCAGCCCATCCCT